TAAAGCTTTTGCACAAATTATGCTTTCAGAAATGCTGTCACCGGCCTCCTGTTTCCCAGTTATCCATATTAAAAGCATTTTTTCCATTTCTTCCATTGTCTGTGTCCGTTGCTTGAGCGTTTTAACACCCTTTGCAACATTGGCCCCCTTAATAGCATCCTTCTTTTTTATGATGGTGCTAATTGTAGATTTGGGCATCCCAAACTGCGTTGCCAGATCACCTACACGGACCCCACTTTCGTGTATGGAAATAATTTCCTTCTTTACCTCAACGGTTATCACGGTTCTCTTGCCTTTGCTGCTTTTCCTTCATGTCAGCAGCCCCAGGAAGCTGAACTGGGTTCCACATAATCCCCAAAATAATGGCAGAAGGCAGCTTCCCCAAAATGAAGGAGCAAAGCAGAGACAAAGGCACATGTGGGAAACTCACATAAACAAATCCCAAAATCCCTTTGCAGAATCCCAACATTTTCCACTCCCCCCTCCCGCAGGGTGGGCGGGCTTACTTGGCGAGGTGCCACCCACCTTGCTACCAGCTGGGGGCGGGGCAAGGGCGGGGCAAGGGCTGGTGCTTTTCGGCTGAGGCTCTCGTTGTTTACTTGCCAGGTTCACCACTGGACTTGGCTCTTAGTCTTCATTAGGTAAGAGTTCCTTACCTAACGTTTGGGGCTGGGGTGCAACCTGCTGCGCCTAGCTGCTGCCGGGAGGCCTCCAGAGAGCTCCTTTGCATCCCGAAATAATTTCGCAAGCCGGAACACCCAGTTCCGGGTTAGAAATGTGCATAACCTGTTACATACGGTAGCACCTTAAAGACCAACGAAGTTAGTTCTTGGTATGAGCTTTCGTGTGCATGCACACTTCTTCAGATACACACTCGTGCATGCACACGAAAGCTCATACCAAGAACTAACTTAGTTGGTCTTTAAGGTGCTACTGGAAGGAATTTTTTTATTTTGACTATGGCAGACCAACACGGCTACCTATCTGTAACTGTTACATACGCTTCAGGTTACAGACTCCGCTAACCCAGAAATAGTGCTTCAGGTTAAGAACTTTGCTTCAGGATGAGAACAGAAATCGTGCAGCGGCGGCGCGGCAGCAGCAGGAGGCCCCATTAGCTAAAGTGGTGCTTCAGGTTAAGAAGTTTCAGGTTAAATATAGACCTCCGGAACGAATTAAGTACTTAACCTGAGGTACCACTGTACTGTTAACGGAGAAATCTGTGGGCTCCCTTGGACAAAAAAACAAGGACACCAGCCAGGAATACCAGAGCAAAACACAGGCTTGGTCTTTCTTGAAGACTGTCATGACAGGACTCCCACCTGCCACCAGGTGAAACAAGATGGAAGCCCCGAACAAAAGAGACCCCAAACTTTTATTAGCTGCTAATCCCCATGTTAGGTAAAGGTAAAGGGACCCCTGACCATTAGGTCCAGTCGTGGCCGACTCTGGGGTTGCGGCGCTCATCTCGCTTTATTGGCTGAGGGAGCCGGCGTACAGCTTCCAGGTCATGTGGCCAGCAGGACTAAGCTGCTTCTGGTGAACCAGAGCAGCGCACAGTAATGCTGTTTACCTTCCCGCAGGAGTGGTACCTATTTATCTACTTGTAATTTGATGTGCTTTCGAACTGCTAGGTTGGCAGGAGCAGGGACCGAGCAACGGGAGCTCACCCCGTCATGGGGATTTGAACCGCAGACCTTCTGATTGGCAAGTCCTAGGCTCTGTGGTTTAACCCACAGCGCCACCCGCGTCCCTAATCCCCATGTTACACCCCCCAAACTACATCACTCATACATCATGGTTACATCATGAAAGGGGATGTCTGGTGGCAGTAATCTGAGCATCCTGGACCCTGCCCCATGGTGCTCCATGCCCTCCACCAACACCCATCAAGTATAACAAAAGTGATTTTTACATTTCCCTGTTTCCCCGCCATGTTAATGACACCCTTTTGTCTTCATCTGGGTTTGTTATTTCTGGAATGGGTACCTGTCTGGCACTCAGGTATCAGGATGCCAGGAATTATCACTCAGGCAGAGGGGCTGCTGAGTAGCTGAGCTCACGTCTATTATGAATTTCTGAAGTTTTCCCAGTGAGCCAGTACACAGATACATTTATCAGTGAATTCTTACATTTGGTATCGTGCAGCAGAGGCCCTTTGAATAGATAAGAAGAAACTGTGATTACCGTATTTTTCGCTCTATAACACGCACCAGACCATAACACGCACATAGTTTTTAGAGGAGGAAAACAAGAAAAAAATATTCTAAACGAAATAGTGGATATATGATTTTTGTGGTTCATGCTGTCGCCACAGACATGTGATCTGACAGTGAGTTTGGAGTAGCCCAATGCAAAAATCCTGAGGATCCATGTGGATCCATGCTTTGTAACCACGGAGGAGGGAAGGAAGGGGAACCATGGATCCTCTGCTCACGACTGCAGCAGATCCCCCCGCCACCCGCAGGCATTCACTCCATAACACGCACAGACATTTCCCCTTACTTTCTAGGAGGAAAAAAGTGAGTGTTATGGTGCAAAAAATACGGTAAGTGTTTTGTGGGGACAAATCACAAAAGTCACAAAAGTGATTGTGCTGATTTTGGTAGTGGGCTGCATGTGTATGATATCTGCTGGAGAGGCAACCACCCCCCAACCTATACATAAATTCCTGCAACAGTACCACTGTAAGGTAAAGGTAAAGGTACCCCTGACCATTAGGTCCAGTGGCAGACGACTCTGGGGTTGCATGCTCATCTCGCTCTATAGACCGAGGGAGCCAGCGTTTGTCCACAGACAGCTTCCACATCATATGGCCAGCATGACTAAGCCGCTTCTGGTGAACCAGAGCAGCGCACGGAAACGCCATTTACCTTCCCACTGGAGCGGTACCTATTTATCTACTTCCACTTTGACGTGCTTTCGAACTGCTAAGTGGGCACGAGCTGGGACTGAAGAATGGGAGCTCACCCTGTCGGGATTCAAACCACCGACCTTCTGACCGGCAAGCCCTAGGCTCTGTGGGTTAGACCACAGCGCCACCCGCGTACCACTGCAGTAGATTAGAAACAAATATACAGTGGTACCTCGGGTTACATACGCTTCAGGTTACATACGCTTCAGGTTACACACACCGCTAACCCAGAAATAGTGCTTCAGGCTAAGAACTTTGCTTCAGGATAAGAACAGAAATCGTGCTCTGGCGGCACGGCGGCAGCAGGAGGCCCCATTAGCTAAAGTGGTGCTTCAGGTTAAGAACAGTTTCAGGTTAAGAACAGACCTCCGGAACGAATTAAGTACTTAACCCGAGGTACCACTGTAAACACACATCATAAAAACAGAAGAAACAACCTGCATAACTGCTGCAAGTTCATGCAGGAAGGCTATAAATTTGGTGAGAATCACAAGTGGGGAGAGTGGCTGTTGTGTTCAGGTCTTGGTTGTGGGGTCCGCACTGAAGCACCAGGTTGGCCATTGTGAGAACAAATTCCTGGGCCAGGTGAGCCTTGAGATGGATCCAGCAGAGTTCTTCCTACGTCCTTGAAAGAAGCTGAGAAATCTTACGAATGAAATAAGCCACTTCTCTTTTCAAACAAGGGGCAATTAATAAAGAAGCTGCTTTGTGGAGGGAGCTCAAAAAGCAGAGGCGGCATTGTCAAATAAATAGAGGTGTCTCCAGAACGTAGACAGGGTGCACATTCAACACTTTGAAAATAGGATTTCTAATAAAGGATAGGCGATTTGTTCTTTATCAGTGATCAGACACGCCATGAAAGCAAGTTCAGTTTTTATTTCAACAGCTGCAGTTGCATGAATCTCAAGCACTAAAAGGGTTGCAGCAAAAACCTATTGGTCATCAAGTTTGCCCTCCCCTTTCTTCTCGTTGTCACGTTCATCTTAATCTTTAATACTTCGAAATGGTTCTTTGATGGACCTTCAAGCAACGCATTGACTCTGGCTGATGCTTTTTCCATACTCCATACCATGGGATAGGCAAACTAAGGCCAGGGGCCAGATCCAGCCCAATTGCCTTCTAAATCCAGCCCACGGACGATCCAGGAATCAGCGTGTTTTTACATGAGTAGAATGTGTCCTTTTATTTAAAATGCATCTCTGGGTTATTTGGGGGCAGGGGAATTCGTTCACCCCCCCCAAATATAGTTTGGCCCCCCACAAGGTCTGAGGGACAGTGGACTGGCCCCCTGCTGAAAAAGTTTGCTAACCCCTGCTCCATACATTTCCATAGCACCCCCCATGGGCTTTTTTGGGTACAGTAAGGTGTTGACTAAAGCTCTTTCCACACACTGAAAATATTTCAACCTGTTGTGAGTTTTTTATGTTTTTTATATATGTAGGAAGTGCTCCTTTTATCACTAAAGCACTTTCCATCCTCCACAATGAAAAAAAGTTCCTCCACCCTGCCATACGGTCACAATCTGAACGACTGGCATCATAGTTGTGAAACTTTATTAACAACACTGAAAAGACTGGGCACTAGAGTATACACCGAAACCATCACTCCCCCCTGTAGATTATCTTACACGAACAGCTCCCCACTACACGCTAAGAGTTCCACAACAAAGCAAGAAAGTCATAGGGTTTTTTTCAGCGTTCTCCAAAATTGTTCCAGTTTAAAAATTGCTTTAGCCTCCGTTCAGAGGACAGCCTGCTCAGAGCCTCATCAGAATCCTCTTAAAACAAGATACAAATGAAATAGAGAATTCTTGCCTCCAACATTTGACAACAATAAGAGCAGAGGATGAAGGCAAGAGGCGGACTTTGTTACTAGCAAACACAGGAAGCCACAAACCTGTGGGACTAAACAGCACCCAACCAAGAGTCAAATAGTTGCATTGTTCATCTTTTAAACGAAACATAGGAGCTTGTCATCAAAATCCGTCTCCTTGCCAGATGGACAGAATATAGGCAATACACCATCATCTTGGTTTTGAAGCAAAGGGCCATATATCCAAAGTTGTCCTGCGTGGCTTCCTTGGTACGAAGGAACACCTGAGCTCTTCTTGAAGCTTTTTCCATACGGAAGACATACATATGGTTTCTTCCCTGTGTGAATTCTCTGATGTGTGCTAAGGCTCGTGCTCTGGCTGAAGCTTTTCCCACACTGCAGACACTGGTAAGGTTTCTCCCCTGTGTGAGTTCTCTGATGGGCACAAAGGTGGGCTTTCTGACTGAAGCCCTTCCCACACTCTGCACATTTGAAGGGCTTTTCCCCGGTGTGAGTTCTCTGATGTGAAGTAAGGCTTGAGCTGACGCTGAAGTTCTTCCCACACTCACCGCATCTGTATGGCTTCTCCCCCGTGTGGATTCTTTGATGAGTAGTGAGCGTCTTGCTGTCGCTGAAGCATTTTCCGCACTCCAGGCAAGTATATGGTTTCACGCCAGTGTGGACTCTTTGATGGGCGGTGAGACTTATGCTCTGGCTGAAGCTCTTTCCGCACTCCATGCATCTAAATGGCTTTTCCCCTGTGTGTGTTCTCTGGTGTGAGGTAAGGTTTGAGCTGTGATTGAAGCTCTTTCCACACTCAGGGCATTTATACGGTTTCTCCCCTGTGTGAGTTCTCTCATGTAAAGTCAGGCTTGAGCTAGCACTGAAGCTCTTTCCACATGCCATACATTTATATGGTTTCACTCCTGTGTGGGTTCTCTGATGACAACTAAGGTTTGAGCTAACACTGAAGCTCTTTCCACACTCCAGGCATTTATATGGTTTCTCCCCTGTGTGAGTTCTCTGATGGGCAGAAAGGTGGGTGCTCCGACTGAAGCTCTTTCCACACTCCAGGCACTGATATGGCTTTTCCCCTGTGTGTGTTCTTCGGTGTGTATTCAGGATGCTACTGTAGCTGAAGCTTTTTCCACACTCCAGGCATTTATATGGTTTCTCTCCTGTGTGAGTTCTTTGATGATTATTCAGTGTTTTGCTGTCGCTGAAGCTCTTTCCACACTCAAGGCATTGGTAAGGTTTTTCCCCTGTGTGGATTCTCTGATGTCTAATAAGTGTCCCTCTCTCACTGAAGCTCTTTCCACATTCAGGGCACTGATAAGGTTTTTCTCCTGTGTGGCTTCTTTTATGTCTAGTAAGTTTTCCGCTACCACTGAAGCACTTTCCGCATTCCAGGCATTGATACGGTTTCTCTCCTGTGTGGGTTCTGCAATGTTTATTCAAGCTCGATTCATCTTTGAAAGTCTTCCCACACACTGGGCACTTCTCTCCCATGTGAGGTAGATGTACGCTCAGGATTTCATGAAAATCATCATGCAGAGAAGGAGAAGATTCATTTCCCTCAAGATATATAGGTCCCCTTCGTGTCCCAAAGGCCTCTGTGGCTGCTTGCTGCTTAGCTGTTTCCAACGACGCCACAGATTGCTCCTTATAATTCTCAAAGCCAAGTCCATCCTCTGTTTGGGAAAAGGAAACAAAAAGAAAACATGATTGGGCTTCAAGGCAGAAACTGAGGACTGGCTGCTTTAGTTATTTAACAATCTCCAAAATCCTGCTCTTTTCTCTCTACACACCCTGCTAGGTTATCTTTTGCATTTGCCAATATCTGAGAGAATAGCACAAATTCATTTCTGGTTGATTCCCTCACACAATTTCACCGGGCACAGATCTTTCTTTCTCTGATTGATATTTTTCATCTAAGGACCTACCAGTCAATTTTTCCTGGAAAAATCCCTCGTCCTTCTTTGCAGGCTCCTCCCAGGACAGCAGTTCTTCCTTTCCTTCCAGCCAAGAGACAAGGTCAGATTTGGGCATCAGAGGACCTTCTTCATGGGATTAAGAAAAGAGAGAGAAAACAAGTATTTATGGCACTTGTGACCTGCGCGTCCAGAAATCCCAGGCCACGTGGCCTGTTTTCTACCTCCACCCCACCCCAAAGGGCAACTGGAATGAAGACAATGGATTTTTAAAAAGGAAGAAACAAGTGGACCGGGTATCAGGAGGGGAAGGAGCACACTGTTCCAAGTAGGAGTTAACACTTTATTAGCAAAAACACAATCTCCACAGATTTGGCTGAGTGTCAGGCCTAATGAGCAGAGCAGCTCCTTCCTGGTGGTCTTCCTCCATGGAAATCAGTTGCTGAGACTAAAGTCCCTGCCTCTCCACAGCCATCTATGTCTCCTCCTCTCCGGGGCTTTCCCCAAGCAATCAGAGACTGTGCCTGTATGTAGCCTGGGAGTCATTTTGGACTCACAGCTGTCCATAGAGGTACAGGTCAATTCTGTGTCCAGGGCAGCTGTCTACCAGCACCATCTGGTACGCAGACTGAGACCCTCCCTGCCCGCGGACTGTCTCGCCAGAGTGGTGCGTGCTCTGGTTAACTCCCACTTGGACTACTGCAATGTGCTCTACGTGGGGCTACCTTTGAAGGTGACCAGGAAACTGCAACTAATCCAGAATGTGGCAGCTAGACTGGTGACTGGGAGTGGCCGCCGAGACCACATAACATCAGTCTTGAAAGACCTACATTGGCTCCCAGTGCATTTCCGAACACAATTCAAAGTGTTGGTGCTGACCTTTGAAGCCCTAAATGGCCTTAGCCCAGTATACCTGAAGGAGCGTCTCCACTTCCATCGTTCAGCCCAGACACTGAGGTCCAGCTCCAAGGGCCTTCTGGTGGTTCCCTCCCTGCAAGAAGTTACAGGGAACCAGGCAGAGGGCCTTCTCAGTAGTGGCTCCCTCCCTGTGGAACACCCTCCCATCAGATGTCAAGGAAATAAACAACTATCTGGCTTTTAGAAGACATCTGAAGGGCCTTCTCGGTGGTGGCACCCGCCCTGTGGAATGCCCTCCCACCAGATGTCAAAGAGAAAAAGAACTACCAAACTTTTAGAAGACATCTGAAGGCAGCCCTGTTTAGGGAAGCTTTTAATGTTTAATAGGTTATTGTATTTTAGTGTTTTGTTGGACGCCACCCAGAGTGGCTGGGGAAACCCAGCCAAATGGGCGGGGTATAAATAAATTATTATTATTATTATTATTATTATTATTATTATTATTATTATTATACACTATGCTAATAGCGTGCCCTGGCTTCTCAAGTCTGGGTCGCTGATTTTCCATTGGCACAGGCCGATGGAAGCAGATGGCACAGTTGGGGCCTCTGCATGTCCACACCTTCCAACTCCATGTTTCCCCTTACAATCCTCACCCAGAGAGGCCACATTCCTGTAGTTCTCCAACATGACTTCTTTGTACAGCGCCCTTTGGTCTGGATCCAGCAGAACCCACTCCTCTGCGGCAAAGGAGACACTCACTTCCTCAAAGGAGACCAAACCCTGGGGAAAGAAGGATGTGTTTTCTCAACAGCACCAAACGGATGGACGATCCCCTCATGTCTTTAGCTAAAAGAAATAACCCAACTGAAACAAGAATCCATGCAGAGGCAGGAGGAAGAAATTGATCTGAGGACCCATCTACCCTACAAATCTGCCACACAGGATGCTGGCATCTCCTTGCCAGGATTTGTGCCAAGGGGCTATTGCGCTTCTCTTTGTGGCCTGCTCTGATTGGTTGGGCCACTCGCATAGCCCCGCCTCAGGAGCAAGTGGGAGGAGCAAGCAGGGTGGATTTGATTTAAATCAAATTGTTTAAAACCACAATTTAGATCACTAGCCAGTAAGACTTCATTTAAATCATTTTTGTTACAGAAAGACTCATTCTTGCTGGTATAATCTAAATATTTACAACCAGATGGAAGGTTTCACTTTTGGAATAATAAATTTCCAGAGTAGTTTTTGCAGTTATATCAAAAATTATTGATTTGGTTATACTATTAGACATACATAGACAGATAATTATGAAATTATTGTCAGGTTTAATAAGTTAACTGTTCATATTTGGACAACTTTTCTGCTGCATTTTATTGGAAGGAGAAAAATAATCATTTCCTTAATAACAATTTATTTAACTAAAACAATAACATTATAGCATGTTTGTTAACTGATGTGGTTAAACATTTTTTTAAAAAAAAGCAGACTAAGTTTTAGCACACAAGAAAAACTTAAAACAAATCCTTATTTCCTGATGAATAACCTTTGGACTATAATGCAACTTAAACAGAAAATTATCTTTAGAAAGACTTTTCCTCCAACAGCATTTTATTTTAAAAATCCAATTTAAATTTTAAAATTCTGATTTAAATTTTAAAATTCTGATTATTATTTTTTTAAGTCATTTATTTTTACCCTGGGAGCAGCCTTTTCCTGGATCGCCTCTGCCACGGATAGGAGGAGCTTTGCTTACCTGAGATAAGGGCAGAACGGCTCTTTCCACCCGGTGACAAAGAGGCGAGAACCTTGAGCACGTCATGGAGGTTTCCCCTCCACCTGCAAGGGCGACGAGAGAAAAAAGATGGCAGGGTAATATTTTCTATGCCGGTTCCTTGCACGGCAACCACGTCATCCTGTTTGACTTGGGAGATGCAAGCCATGATTCTGGGTTTGATTCGCAGTTCATGGAATCGTAACCTTGTGGAGATGGAAGGGACTCAAATGGAATTTAGTCTAAGCCCCTGCAATGCTGCCCCCTTGATTTTGTGAGGAATCAAAGTGGGTGAAAACCATTCAAATGGGTGTCAAGGCATCTAAAGGTACCCCTGACCATTAGGTCCAGTCGTGGCCGACTCTGGGGTTGCAGCGCTCATCTCGCTTTATTGGCCGAGGGAGCTGGCATTTGTCCGCAGACAGCTTCCAGGTCATGTGGCTAGCATGACTAAGCCACTTCTGGCGAACCAGAGCAGTGCACAGAAACGCCGCTTACCTTCCCGCCAGAGTGGTACCTATTTATCTACTTGCACTTGACATGCTTTTAAACTGCTAGGTGGGCAGGAGCAGGGACCAAGCAACGGGAGCTCACCCCGTCACGGGGATTTGAACCGCCACCCTTCTGATTGGCAGGCCCTAGGTTGTGGTTTAGACCACAGCACCACCCGCGTCCCATGTCAAGGCATCTAGCCTCAGGCTATTCTGAGAAGTGTGGTTTTTTTTGGGGGGGTGCAGGGGTACGCATACCCTTAAACATTTTGTGAATCTAACAGGATAAGAAACTAAACATTTTGTGAATCTAACAGGATAAGAAACTAAAAAATTTAGTTTCTTCTCTAGCACGGTGAATCGTCAGTTTCATTACTACGCCTGACGGCGGCCTCATTTCCTGTCAAGGTGTTTCCTGAGTCTCAGATGGAAGTAAGTGTTTAATGTGTGAAGTCAACTGTATGTTGATGATGATGATGATGATGATGGTGATGATGATGATGATAATCATCATCATCATCATTTATTTATTATTTATACCCCGCCCATCTGGCTGGGCTTCCCCAGCCACTCTGGACGGCTTCCAACAAAATATTAAAATACTATAATACATCAAACATTAAAAGCTTCCCTAAACAGGGCTGCCTTCAGATGTCTTCTAAAAGTCTGGTAGTTGTTGTTCTCTTTGACATCTGGTGGGAGGGCGTTCCACAGGGCGGGTGCCACTACCGAGAAGGCCCTCTGCCCAGTTCCCTGTAACCTCACTTCTCGCAATGAGGAAACCACCAGAAGGCCCTTGGTGCTGGACCTCAGTGTCCGGGTAGAACAATGGGGGTGGAGATGCTCCTTAAGATATACTGGACTCATGAACTATAAAATGAACTATAAAATGGTGATTTCCTTGAGTCAAAATGAAAGTACCCCCTAAACATTTTTTAAAGGGAAAAAAACACCATTTCTGAGAAACACAAAGCAAGACCACAGAGACCTGGCAAGGTAACAACCCTTCCCCAGATCATCCTTGCACCTACCTGCCAGTCGCTCCGGGTCAAATTGCTCTCCTTCTCCTTCCAACCAGCTGATGAGAAGAGGTTGAAGAATCAGAGGCCCATCTGGAATGGAAGAAGAAGAAGAAAATATTTTTTTTCCTTCTAGGAGTCCAGAATTTCAGACTAGACTGGTTCTGTTACCGGCCTCCTAAGACAGAGGTAGTGCCATCACTGGATACAGGGAAATGATGGGAAGCACCAGTTGGGGAACCCCCTAAGGGAAGAAGGCTCAGAGCCCAGGGATTGGTGGTGGGACAACGATGGGTCATCAGAGGGAGAAGACTGGGAGGAGGAGGTTCCGTTAGCTGGAGAGGTGACAGGGCTTAGTGAGCAGGAGGAGGCTGTGGCAGAGAGCAGCCCAGAAGCAGAAGATGGAGCAGGAACGGAGGGAATTATAGGGACAACACTACCCAAATTGTATAGAAATTTATTTATGTATGCTACTACAGCAGCAAGAATGTTACTTGCCCAAAAGTGGAAAGAAGTGAAAGTCCCAGGAAAGGAAGAATGGATACAAAAACTCAGGGAATATGCAGAAATGGCAAAATTTACCGGAAGAATAAGAAATCAAGATAACAAACTTTTTATAAAAGAATGGAACTGGTTTACTGAATGGTTTACTGAATATTTACAAATAAATTGTAAACAGATAAAAACATTAGAGGGATTAATGTAATAACGAATAAATCCAATTCTCTTTGACTTCTCTCCCCTCCTTTCTGCAGTTAGTTATTTTATATCTTTTTATTACTGCATATCCAATTCGAATCTATTTTCTAATTTCCCCTTATGTTCTCCCTAATTATCTCTTACTGCATCAATTTGAACTGCAAGAAGATCAAACCTATCCATTCTTAAGGAAATTAGCCCTGAGTTCTCACTGGAAGGACAGATTGTGAGGCTGAGGCTCCAATACTTTGGCCACCTCATGAGAAGAGAAGACTCCCTGGAAAAGACCCTGATGTTGGGAAAGATTGAGGGCACAAGGAGAAGGGGACGACAGAGAACGAGATGGTGGGACAGTGTTCTCGAAGCGACCAGCATGAGTTTGACCAAACTGCGGGAGGCAGTGGAAGACAGAAGTGCCTGGCGTGCTCTGGTCCAGGGGGTCACGAAGAGTCGGACATGACTAAACGACTAAACAACAACGTTTTGATTTCTTTACAATGTCTCTTCAAACAGTCAACACATTTTCTATTTTAAAAAGTCTTTCTTCTTGATTTCTTATTCTTCTGGTAAGTTTCGCCATTTCTGCATAGTTTTAATTGCCAATCGTCCTTTATCGGAACTGTTTCTTCTTTCAATTTTCAGGCATAAATCCTTTGGTAAGGAAGGGATCACTGGATGCAGCCTGGCTGATTCCCTCCTGTGCACAGAATGAGTGTTAAGGGGTCTGAAAGAGTATTCCCCTTTCCTTCTAGGGCTCAAATATATGAATATGATTAAATGGGAAGAAAACCTGTTTAAACTGTGGAATGTATTCCGGCATTTGTTACTGCAATGTGTTTGATGGGGGAAGTCTTCTCTCTGGTCAGGTGCAAGTCCGTTTAACTGTCACTGTGGGAACTTTGACGGACAGCTGAGGAGCGGCTGGTGATGTGTATTCTGATTGGCGGTTGCTGGTTTAGAATTCTCAGTGAGACGCTGTGATTGGCTGGGGCTGGACCAGAGGACTTTAAACGGAGGAGGAGTTGGAGATAGAACCTTCAGTACGCAAAAGAAGGATAGAAGGAGTGCGTAGTCTGATTGGAGGATGCAGGTTTAGAATTCTTAGTGAAACGCTGTGATTGGCTAGGGTTGGCCCAAAGAACTGTATATATAGCCAGAACTGTATATTCAGCAGAGTTAGTTGGAGCTGTTGGTGCTCCTGGAGTCAGACAGAAGAAGGCAGAGGAAGAGGATAGGGAAAGAAGATCCAGAAGGAAGGGCAGAGGGGCTTGGTGGCCAAAGGCTTCTTGGGCTAGCCATATAACTTGGCTCAGCCTAAGGAGTCTACAGCACTGAAGGAGAAGAAAGGAGAGGCGGTTTGCAATGCTGGACTCTGGTGCCTGGTAGGGGAGCCAGAGGAAGATTCCAGAACAGCAAAATCAGGCCTGGGGTTTCATTTGTGGGAATTAAAATCTAGTCCCCATTTACAGAGTTATGCCAAAGAGAGCCCTTTAATTTGACCCTTTAATTAGTTCCCTTTTCTCTCCTATAAAAACTAATCAAGACCACCTCTGTTGAGAGTTTAAATAACAAATAACTTTTACTCAGTGCCTGTTTTCCAGGGACAGTCCTAGATTTACAGAAGCCGTCCTGGTTTCTGATTTGATCCCAGCATGCCCTGCTTTTCGTTAGGACATCCCTATTTTCACTGGAGAAATTTTGGAGGGTATGGAGTTGTCTGACTCTCGAACCATCTGAAAGTAGTCCTGTATAGGAAAGTTCTTTTAAAGTTTAATATTTTGGTTTTTTATATATGTTGGAAGCCAACTAGAGTGGCTGGGACAACCCAGTCAGGTGGGTGGGGTTTAAACAGTAAAATAATAATAATAATAATAATAATAATAATAATAATAATAATAATGGAATAAAGGGTAAAGGGACCCCTGACCATTAAGCCCAGTCGCAGACGACTCTGGGGTTGCGGTGCTCATCTCGCTTTACTGGCTGAGGAGCCGGCTTACAGCTTCTGGGTCATGTGGCCAGCATGACTAAGCCACTTCTGGCGAACCAGAGCAGCGCACGGAAATGCTGTTTACCTTCTCACTGGAGTGGTACCTATTTATCTACTTGCACTTTGACGTGCTTTCGAACTGCTAGGTTGGCAGGAGCAGGGACCAAGCAATGGTAGCTCACCCCGTCGCGGGGATTCGAACCGCCAACTTTCTGATCGGCAAGCCCTAGGCTCTGTGGTTTCACCCATAGCACCACCCACGTCCCTTATTATGGAACAGGACATATCTATTTTCATTGTAAGATATGTCAGTGTGCTTGATATACAATGCAGGTAGGTGTTATGTATGCTGATAATGTAGTCAAACCTCAGTTTTCGATTGTCTCTGCTGCTGAACGTTTTGGCTCCTGAATGCCAAAAACCCGGAAGTGTCCCAGTTTTCGAACATTTTTCAGAAGCTGAATGTCCAACGTGGCCGACAAGCGGCTTCCAATTGGCTTTTCCGATTGCAAGATTACGTTTGACTTCCGAGGTACCACTGTACATCTTACATAGATTTGTATTTAAGATAAATACTGTTATAGGCTGAGGCTGGATGTTGACACTTCAAAAAAGCTTTCAGTTAAATGCATTGTAAACTTTGTATGAGAAACCGGGTGATATTTTGGACATGTATTGGGAAGGGACGAAAACCGGGGATGGGAGGGAGGGAAGAATAGAATTCTAAAAACACTCAAGACTTTTGGGTTTGGTTAATATGACTTTTATTTAAGACAAATTGGGAAATCAATGGAAGAGAATTTGAGTCCAACTTAGGAAAATTTATTTATTTGTATTTATAAATTTTAAGATGATTAAGAAGAGAAATACCAATTTGCTGACACAATTTTGGGAAGTGGGATGCATGAAGGGGGTGGGGGGAAGTCTGGGAACAAGGTTAAGAAAGTGGGATTTTCTGAAACTATACATGTTTTTGTCTTTGTCTTTTTTGTGTGTATTTGTCTTTATAAAAGGTGAAAAGCCAATAAAAATTTCTATTAAAAAAAAAAGAGAAACCGGGTAGGCAAAAACGGGACTCCACAGCGCCATCTGGTGTCACAGTGTTATAATGCACATACAACACATATAAAGCACTTTTTCTTTACCAATCTAGCTGAGTCCTGACTAACCCAGAGGCAGACAGCAACACAACAGAACAGACCTGCTGCTCTAACTGTTAAGACTGTTCATAACTGAACCGACTTACATCACTGCCTCAGGCATATGACATCACAGAGTTTTACAGCCTTTGTGAGCATTAACCCTTTATTTAGCATTTTGTGTGCTTTCATGCAACATCGTAGAGGTTCGGTAGTAGCTGAAAGAGAGGCTTCAACGCAAGCCATCAATTTATAGTACTGGGGAGCTGGGCTTCCCCCCGCCCCAGCCGGAAATCACTGGAACTCGAACTACCTAAATTGTATAGAAATCTATTTATGTATGCTACTACAGCAGCAAGAATGTTGCTTGCCCAAAAGCGGAAAGAAGCAGAAGTCCCAGTAAAGGAAGAATGGATACGAAAACTCAGGGAATATGCAGACATGGTGAAACTTACCAGAAGAATAAGAAATCAAGATAACAAACTTGTTATAAAAGAATGGAAAAGGTTTGTTGAATATTTATAGATAAATTGTAAACAGATAAAAACACTGGCGGGATTATTGTAATAACCTGCAGTTTTATAAGAGTATATATTTACAGTGGATAAATAAATGAGCAAGTTAAATGAATTTGGATATGCAGAGGATAGAAAAAATGAATTTAAGGAACCGCAGGAAGAGGGGGAAGGAAGTCAAATTTTGAAATGTTAAATTGATTGTAAAACTAATGAAATGTATAAATTTGAAAATATATGTAAAAAAACTAAATTAAAAAAAGGAAAGGAGGGAGACCGAGAGAAAGAGATGGGTCGGGCTGGTGAAGAAGGCAGAGTGTCTCCCACTTCTGCCTTTATAAGCTCCCCTCCCCACTGGACTCCCATGACAAGAAGAGGTATGAAGAGAGAGGAGCAGAGACGGGCGCATCAGCGTAGTCTCATATTGCTTGGGAAGAACCTGGGGCAAAAGGAGATTCAGGCAGCTGTGGGAAGGCGGGAACATTCAGCCTCCTCAACTGCCTCATAGGGGCAAGACCTGAAAAGAGTTGCTCTGCTCACTAGGCCTGCACAAACCTTCTTTCTTCTAATAAAGAGCTAACTTCTATGTTGTCATGGGCCAGGAGTCGGCTTCACCTGTTGAGCAGCAGCCTGAAGGCGAAGTGACTCCACCTGCTGCTCATCAGCCTTCTTGCTCCTGGTGCGAACCGGCTAGCTCCAAATTTCTTAAGCAGGGATTCCAGCCTCATGTCAGTTGCTGGAAACCACATACATTGTTCTTGGCCAGACCTTGCTGCTTCTTGCGACCTTGGACCCTCGGCTTTCTTGACCCCCAGATCGTCTGACTACGTGAACTGAGATACTCCTGACCTTAGGACTGGACTGGACCTAAGGACTCTGCCTCCAGGCAAGTACCACCCCGAGACTCGGCTGCTAGGCTGGCCTCTCCCTCCACTGAGCTCTGCTGTGGCTGGCAGCACAGGACTACGACCCGTGTGATTTATTGCTGGCTCGCTCCTGACACTGTCCCACTAACCTCTGCCTGCCTTCAGCCAGCCCTTTAACCTGCCTTCTTAATGGCAACCAGCCCAGGGGTAGGCATTGCCTGCCAGCCTCCTCCTGCTGCTTTGGAAAACTTTGCAGGGAGAAGCTTTGGGGCAAAAGCATAACGCACTTCCGGGTTGGCGCCATCGCCGAATGGCGGACTCCCTCCGAGCTCCGGAGGGAGCCTGCTCGGCAGGGGCTGGGTCCTACCGCGCCGGCGACGCGGGGACCCTCAAAAACCATGGGCACGGAGACCATGGACATGGTTGACTCGGCGGGCACCGTTAGCGCCCTCCCGACTCGTGAAGGAGCCTTTTTAAAGGCTACGGAACAGGTGCCGGGGAGCGGCGTGGTACTGTGAGTCCTCTGCTTTCCCTGCCGAGCGAAGCCGCATGCCATTCGACGGAGAGCGCTGACTTCTTCTATTGAAAATTCAGACTATAAACAACAACCCGTGAGTAATTTGGAAATCGGACTTAAAAGGAGAAAAAAAAGAATTTTTTTTTCGGATTCGGCACGAGCGGGGGAGATCCAAAAAGGAAGTCAGTCCCCCCCTATTGTAAACATTCTAAAACAAGGATTTGGCAACCAAGGTCGAGAAAGGAGCTTGCTTCTGTTTATTGATAAAAATTATTAATTCCACGATGGGAAATTATAAGAACTGTGCTGGAGGAGAAGAGTGGAGGGTGAGAATGAAAGTGCAACCCCCCCGGGAACCGGGGTGACCCGTGAGAGAGCCTGGTGAAGAGAGACGGAGACTTTGACAGCTGTCAAAGTAGCTGTCAATGTTGGAGAATATAAAGAGGACTTTGCTATGAGGACTTTGCTGGTTAGTTTTGCTACAATTTGGATATAAACTGTCGAAAATAAGGAATAACAATTTGACTTTTGGATTAGAGGAAACAAAGTTACTACAATCCCCCCTAGAGGGGTTTCGGGACATTACAAGAACGGTCGTAAGTGGAAAAATACTCTTGGAATCGTACAGGACTTGTTATCTTCTGGGAAAGCTGCAAAACTGAAACAGTATTTCGTCTACAGAGGTGTTTATATTAAAGAAGACAATAGAATTATCTATTGAAGAAAGGAAGGGACTGGATGTAAGTTTCTGTTCCTGAACGAACAACAACTTCTGTAGAGGCACCAAATTTCTGAATTAGAATGTTTTTGCAGCGGAACAGGAAAAGAAACCTGAGAAAGTGAGAAAAAAGAACAAAGGACTGATGACGACTTGGAAAGAACAAGGGAGGAGCCATAAAGATCAAGGAAACTAAAGGCCCTTTGGGGGCCTCTTTAAGACTGGATGTTTGAAGTTAAACATTATTTAAAAAAGGAAAGGGAAAAAAAAGAAACCGGCAAGGTGGAACTGGGAAAAAACTGGCCATGGATCTGAGACCTCCAGGCTGACAATAGACAGACTGATGGATATGGGGAACCCAAACCGGGGAAGGGGGGGGAGATTTGGAATCCAAAGGCTGTGCAACTATTTCTTGAATCTTTTTATATTTTTTTATATTTTTTAATATCTTTTTTATATCTTTTATTTTGATTGGACGTGTTTATTAAAAAAGGGAATTCGTGGAAGGAAATTGGGGTGGACCTTGGGGGAAAATTTTTTTTCTGTTAATGATGAGGGATGGTGGAATGATTGTATAATTAAATTGAACAGTGGGTTAAACAAATTAAGTTTTAAATTGGGAGTAAGAGCTTGTAGAACTAAACTAATGAAAGGGGAATACAATTGGGAGGGGGGTGGGGGAGTCCCAGAAAGAGGGTAATGAAAGTAAGGCTTTAAATGTATTTTTTTCTTTTCTTTTTTGTATTTTTATTTTTTGTGTTTTGGAAACTTTAATAAATATGATTAAAAAAAAAAAAAAGCATAACGAGCCGGCTCTGGCGCCACCTACTGTCAGGCCTCCCTGCCTTCTGGCCTATCAGTCGCAAGGGCTGCCAGCCAATCACGGCTGCCCTCTCATACAGAGCTGGCAAAGAGCCCCGTCTGGAATAAGAGGAATGAGCTTAGCACAAATGCGGTCGGGTGAAGCAGATAAACCGAGAAAGCAACAGGAGTTCTCCGTGTCTAATAATAATAACAATAATTTTTTATTTATACCCCGCCCTCCCTGGCCAGAGCCGGGCTCAGGGCGGCTAACACCAGTAAAATTACAATAAAAGATAATGGGGGGGAAACAATTTAAAATACAGGTTAAAAATACGATTTAAAGTGCAGCCTCATTTTAATAATAGCCCATAGATCAAAACCGTAAGGGACTCAGACTAGTCCAACCCCCTGCAATGCGGGGATAATAATAATAATAATAATAATAATAATAATAATAATTATTTTGATTTATACCCCGCCCTCCCTGGCTAGAGCCGGGCTCAAGGCAGCTAAACACCAATAAAGTCATAGTAAAAACATAAAAGGGGGGAAAGAGAGAGGGGGAAAACACAATTTAAAATACAGGTTAAAATGCAATTTAAAATGCAGCCTCATTTTAAAGTAGCTGATAAATCAGGACCATAAGGGGAGGGCAACATAAGGGTCAGACTGAGTCCAAACCAAAGGCCAGGTGGAACAGCTCTGTCTTGCAGGTCCTGCGGAAAGATGTCGAGTCCCGCAGGGCCCTAGTCTCGTGACAGAGCGTTCCACCAAGTCGGGGCCAGTGCTGAAAAGGCCCTGGCCCTAGTTGAGACCAATCTAACCACCTTGTGACTTGGGACCTCCAAAAGGTTGTCATTTGTGGACCTTAAGGTCCTCCACAGGGCATACCAGGAGAGGCGGTGGCGTAGGTACGTGGGTCCTAGGCCACAAGAAAGGCAACAGGGAGGGGGGTGCTTACCCAAAGAGGCCACCTCCCCATAATTCTCCAGCATGACTTCTCTGTACAGAGCCCTCTGGGCTGGATCCAGCAGCGTCCACTCGTCCTTGGAGAAATGTACAGCCACCTCCTCAAAGGTCGCAGGAGCCTAAAGTGGAAAAGAAGACATGTCTCATCTCACACACACACAAAAACAGGCAGTCGGACAGGTGAGCAGACATGACCTGGCCAAAGGCCCGTCTAGTCCAGCACCCTGTTCTCTCAGTGGCCAACCAGGTGTGTGTAGGAAGCAGAACCTGAATTCAGATTCACTTGGGATTCCCGGGAACTGGGATTCAGGAGCAGAGGGAAAGCGCTGTTGCACTCAGGTCCCGATTCTGGGCTTTCATTCGAGACATCTGGTTGGCCACTGTAGGAGCGATATATAGAGGGGCCTGATCTAGCAAGTCTCTTATGTTATTCATGGAATCATAGAATCTTTGGACTGGAAGGGACCCCAAGGGCCATTTAGTCCAACCCCCTGCAATGCAGGAATCTCAGCTAAAGTATTCAAGACAGGTAGCCATCCAATCTCTGCTTAAAAACCTCCAAGGAAGGAGAGTCGGAAGAGAGGGGAAGCAATGCAGGCAACTCAAAAGAGACTACAGTGGTACCTCGGTTCCCAAACGCCTTGGTACTCAAACAACTTGGAACCTGAACACTGCAAACTCGGAAGGAAGTGTTTCGGTTTGCGAACTATTTTCGGAGGCCGAAGATGTTCCGTTTAAAGTGTAACGCTTCTTGATTTGAGTGCCACACTTCCGTTTTGAGTTTTATGCTTCCGTTTTGAGTGTTAGGCTGAGGTCTGCCGGTTTTGGGGCTTTTTTGTTTGTTTTCATGACTGTGTGGAACCCAGTTCAACTACTGATTGATTGTGTGACTGCAGTACATTGTTTATTGCTTTCATTTTATGGATCAATGGCCTCGTTAGATAGTAAAATTCATGTTAAATTGCTGTTTTAGGGGTTGTTTTTAAAAGTCTGGAACGGATCAATCCATTTTGCATTACTTTCTATGGGAAAGCGCGCCTTGGTTTTGGAACGCTTTGGTTTTGGAACGGACTTCCGGAATGGATTAAGTTTGAAAACCAAGGTACCACTGTATACACTGTGCGATTAAGCTGCAACTTTTTCAAATAAGCGTTCTGTTTTTCTGCCCTTGTTTGAACTGATCCTGCTAACTAGTCCTAGGTATGATTTCATCCCAGCTTCTTTCGCTCTACTCCTGGGGAGGCCTTGCCTGGCTTATCCACGTAGAAGCAGAAACCATTTATTGCGCAAAAGGAGTTGATGGGAGACCTATCCATCACTGTGTCTGAAATGCAATCATTTTTAATTGTTTAATAAGAAATTCTCCAGAAATCATTTCTGTTGTTGGATGTTTTTACTGTGAAATCGCATCATTACTTTAGACTGTTTGCATAGCACTTTATCAGTCGTCCGATGCAACAAGACTAAAACATGAATTAAAACTATACAATCAGGAGTTCAATTTTTTTAAAAAAACCTGCTGGAATAAAAAAGTATTCAGTTAAGTGCCAAAACCTTAACAGGGAAGGAGTTCAACTCTGTCCTCAACTGCAAGGAATTTCCACAAGATTGGGTCCCTAATTCTGGTGGATCTGAGCCACACAACCAAGTCAGGGGCAGCGCCTCATTGACTCCCCTGAAGACTTCAGTGGTCAAGCAGAGATACAAGGGATAAAGCAGTCTTTGAGGATTCATGGACCCAAGGGCCTTGTAAATTAATGACATGAACCTTGTGAGTGGCCTGGCAACGTATGGGCCGTTTTTGAGCAAAACTGCCCAGGATTTACACTGGGCAGCCTTGACATCTTCCTGCCACAGAAGGCAAGGGGAGGAAAGGGAGGTTTTGATGAAAATAAGAATAACAATAATGATTCGGGTTTCTTTTGTTTTAGTTTGTTTTGCTGTGGTTCAAAAGGTCCAGGTGAGCAAACTAGTACTACAGTGGTACCTCGGGTTAAGTACTTAATTCATTCCGGAGGTCCGTTCTTAACCTGAAACTGTTCTTAACCTGAGCTACCACTTTAGCTAATGGGGCCTGCTGCTGCGCCGCCGGAGCACGATTTCTGTTCTCATCCTGAAGCAAAGTTCTTAACCCGAGGTACTATTTCTGGGTTAGCGGAGCCTGTAACCTGAAGAGTCTGTAACCTGAAGCGTATGTAACCTGAGGTACCACTGTACTACTACTACTACTAATAATAATAGTAATAATGAGGAGACGGCCAGGACATTCAGCAACCTTTGTGCTTTAAATGCATGGCAAGGGTCTTCAGAGATCCATCCCATAAAAGTAAGCCCACAAAGCCCCCCCCCCCCCTCTATCTCTTACTTGAGCTGGCTGCGTAGAGTCTCTTCCCATTTCACTGTAAAGAGGAGACCCAGAAGGTGTCTCTGGGGCTTTTTCTGCCGCCTGGAAGGGAGACAAAGAAGGATGAAGGGGATAGGTTTTTTTTAATCCTGAGTGTCTGTTTCCCTTGGAAGTCCCTGGTGTGAAAAAACAGCTTTCCTCTGCAGCACCTACAGAGATTGGACAGAGCTCAGACGGAGAGAGGAACATCTTGCAATGCAATCAATGCATTTTGGGGCGGAAAGGGGGCTCTTTGCAACTGGATAATCCTATATTATTTATTTTGCAAGGCGGGGACGTAATTTCTCTTTCCCCCCCCCTCCGCCCATGCTGCTTCCTCTGCAATCAGAGGGTCTCCCCATCTCTCATGGAAGATGAAGTTGCTGGATTGGTGGTGGTGGGAGAAGAGTGGGTCACAGAATCGTAGAGTTGGAAGGGGTCCGCATGGTCATCTATCCCAACCCCCTTGCAATGCAGGAATCTGCAGCTGCCTCCAAAAGGGATCGAACTTGCGGTCTGCCAGCTCCATGCTGCCCCAACAACAACAGCTGAAGCATTGCAAAGGCATCCCATTTTTGCAGCTGGGTTGCAGAAGTCAGACCCCGCCACCCTCCCAATGTGTGTGTGTGTGTGTGTGTTTTTTTCAATAGGAAGGAAATCGTATGCCCCCCCCAAAGGCCAATTCTTGCCCTCCCCATGCAGGATACCTGCCCGCACCATGTCTTCCTCCTGAGCCTCCCCCTCCTGGCCAAGGAATGGCACCAGGCCTCTTCCTTCCCTACCTGGAAGGACCAGGGAATGGGGGCTCCCTATTGTCTTCCCCCACCTCCACCTCACTTTCAGAACTTCCTGCCTCTCTAGGAAGCCCCTGGAGGACCAGGCTGCCTCTCTATCCCTCCCTCCCTCCCTCCCCTGCCTGCCAGCTGCTTTGCAATTATTGCACCTGAAGCATCATCTCTCTGCTGGGTCCTCCTCGGTTTTTCTCCCCTGAGAAAACGGTGAAAGAGGCCTCTTGGAAGACCTTCTCTCCCCCCCCCCCCCGCTCCCTTGCAACCAGAGAGATTTTTTTAAAAAAATCTATTTATTTGATTTTCCAAATTGATATTTACTTTCACATAATAGCATAATATATAAGAACAAGATTCCAAAGAATCCCTTGGACTTCCCTCCTCCCCTTTGTGGGCCTTATTGTTAATCCTTTCCTTCTGCATATTTTATATTAACCCACATCTTATATCTCCATTATGTCCATAGTTCATCGTTGCATTACAAGTGTTATTCCAATCCCACAGAGAGAATTTGTTGTTTCTGCCTAACGGTCAGGGGGTCCCTTTACCTTTACTTTATAGCCTTATACACGGAAAAATACAGTATTTCAGGCACAAAAGTTGTTGAGTTCCCCGTCCCCAAGTTGCTTCTTTGTGTTTTTGAGGTATTTTAAAGAAATTTCACCAAAATCTACACTTCCGATATTGGTTGCTGGATTTCTGCCGGGACACTGTTTCCGACGGCTGAATTGTGGCTGCATCTGGGAAATTCTGGACGTATGACAACCCTAAACCAAGTCCCCCTCTCTCTGATATGGCCCAAAAGAAAGCAGACCAATATGTTTGGCACTAGCTTGGCTGCAGAAGTTTCTGGAAGGAGGTGCTATAGGCGCCATCCAACTGTCTTAGGGACTCCACTCCAAATTTGTGTAGGATTTACTCCATAGTTTTTCTTCTCCCAAAAATATCCCACAAGGCAGCGGAGTTTTAGGATCAGTGTTTTCCTTCTCTTAGATGGGCTCCCTTCCCAGGTGGAGGAGCCCCATTTGCCCCTCACTTCCCTATACAGTCATACCTCTTGTTACGTTTGCTTCAGGTTGCGCGTTTTCAGGTTGCGACCCGGAAGTACCGGAAAGGATTACTTCTGGGTTTCGCCACTCGCGCATGCGCAGACGCGCAAAATGACATCACGCGCACACGCAGAAGCGGCAAATCGCGACCTGCACAGATATGGGTTGCGTTCTGCTCATGTTGCGAACAGGGCTCCGGAACGGATCCTGTTCGCAACCAGAGGTACCACTGTACAGCACACAGGGCCGTCTTAAGCATATGTGGCGCCGGGGTGCAGAGATCCGCCCCTCCAGGTTGACCAAAGTCGTTGACCTTTTTATAGGGCGGGCTGGCAAAGCGCGCACGGCACAGCTGGCCTGACCGGCTGCCTCAGCAGCAACAGAGGAGCTCAAGGCGGCAGCGGTGGCAGCAGAGCAAGGCTGGGCGCCTGGGGGTGGGCAAGCCCAGCCCAGCGCAACAACAGTCGAGCCTGAGGTGGTGGTGGCGACTGAGTGAAGCCAGGCGCTTTGTGTGAGCAGCGTGCGCTGGGCAGGTTCTCTCAACAGTCCGCCAATCCCAGGAGCTCCGACGGGTTCTGCTCCGCTCAGCAGCGGCTGTTGGCTCTTCCCAATCCCCGGACTCCAAATCTCGGCCCCGGACTCTTGGCCTGGCACCCCTGAGAGCCTGGGTGCCCCACACCCCTAACGCCTATGGGTAAGACGGCCCCAACAGCACGTGCAGAAACCACCTTCTTGACCGTTGGAACCTCTCTTGGTCTCTTGGCAGGTTTTGAATAAACATTCACAAACTTTTTATTGGTAATACAGTGGGACCTCAAGTTACATACGCTTCAGGTTACAGACTCCGCTAACCCAGAAATAGTGCTTCAGGTGAAGAACTTTGCTTCAGGATGAGAACAGAAATCATGCTCTGGCGGCGCGGCAGCAGCAGGAGGCCCCATTAGCTAAAGTGGTGCTTCAGGTTAAGAACAGTTTCAGGTTAAGAACGGACCTCTGGAACGAATTAAGTTCTTAACCAGAGGTACCACTGTATATAGATAGATAAATTAAGGATCTTTACAATTTTATAATATGCAGAGAATAACATGTGCTGAAAAACCAGAGAGAGGAGCTGAGGGAAGTCTGGGGTGGGTGGGAGGGTGAGTTTTTCTTTTTTGGGGAGAGGGGAGGAAAAAATTGGGGGGGGGGAATGAGGGTGATGTGTTTTTGATAAATTGTTATGTTGAAATTCCGAATAAATATATATATATATTTAAAAAAGGAACCACTCTTGGTCTCATCCGCTCAACCAGCCTGTCTTCGCATGCAGGGGGCGTCCCTAACTCACCGAGGTTTTGAGACCCATCAGCTGCCCTTGCCTGGTTAGCCAGCCAGTCAAAGCCATTTCCTGGGATTGTGGCCGCTGTTGCATGCAGACAGCTACTAGGAGCCACAGGTGAGATCTGAGTGCAGGTTGGGGACCAAAGGTGGACAAACCAGCCCAGAAGGAGCATGCTGTCCCGTCCCCCCCGAGGTACCACCTCTCCCCTAACATTCCTTTGTTAAAGCATTTTTATTAATTTTCCAATAAAAATATCCAATTAACATATCATATCATAATCCAATAAAAATAAAAAAATAAAATTAAAAAGGTCGAATTATTTTCCAAATTATAATTTTTAATTTTTTGGGCTTCCCATAGTCTGGACCTTGAAGCATAACTCCAAATCTCAATCCTGCCTCTCGTTGTCGTTTCCATATTTCCCACATCTCGATTTTAACACTCTGACTTCTTGTCTCTGACTCTACGGTTCTCAGTTGTGTCAGAAATCATAGTATCCTTTCGTCCGCTGAATACAACTTTATTTGTGTAATATACTTTTCCGACTGTCTTTTTGCTAGCGCAGCTTCATCTGGCTCCATTCCAATCCGGGCTGTTATCCAACTCTCTGAATCCCCTAACATCCCATAATAAAAACATCACTGGATTCTACACAATGAAACCTGATCCCACAATGCATTTGTTGCTCTTTCAGGTGCTGCGGGGTTTATTTCCCCTACTCATTGTTCCACTGTTATTTAAAAACATAAGGTAGGCAAGTTGCTACACACTTTTGCCGTTGTCCCGGTTCATCCCTCGAATACCCAAAAAAAGAAAGATGGATTAAATGGCAACACTGAAAGAAGAATGGGGGAAACAGGTGACAGTTATTAATGGAATTTTCAGAAACAACTGAACCAAGATTAACTCTTTTTAAAAGTCATTTTATTTTTGTGGGGGCAAAAATCCTTTCCTCTTCCATATGCCCCCTCCCCCACCTCAAATCTTTCTGGGTCCCCCCCCCCCCGCAACCCTCCAGAGCTGATTTGGGGACAACTCCTGGAAATATTGAGCTGAATGTCACCCATAATATGTAAAACAGCAAGACAGGGAACTGTTACATCACCACCAAATTTCCAAGTTTTTGCAAAGGAAATAAAGAAGAATAGGCAGTAAGGAAAGAATATGGAAGATAACCCCTTACATGTTCTCCGTATAAAATTCCCACATTGACCCTTTTTAAACGTATTGACTTTAGTCCTCCTTGTATTAAATTGATGCCAGTTATCCTTCTCAGGATCCTTCACCAGGAAACTATTTCCCTTAGCTGCTACCAAAAATATATACAGACATTCATACAATAGCCGTAAAGGTAAAGGTAAAGGGACCCCAGACCGTTAGGTCCAGTCGTGACAGACTCTGGGGTTGCAGCGCTCATCTCGTTTTATTGGCTGAGGGAGCCAGCATGACTAAGCCACTTCTGGCGAACCAGAGCAGTGCACGGAAATGCCGTTTACCTTCCCGCCGGAGTGGTACCTATTTATCTACTTGCACTTTGACATGCTTCCAAACTGCTAGGTTGGCAGGAGCAGGGGATTCGAACCGCCAACCTTCTGATCGGCAAGTCCTAGGCTCTGTGGTTTAACCCACAGTGCCACCCGCGTCTCTACAATAGCTTTACAAAACTGTTCATATAAAACCGGGGAGGTTATAGGGGCTTGGGGGATATTAACAAACATTTCAAATCATCTGGTCGTTCCAAAGTTGTTTAAACTTTCTTCCAGCCTTGTTCAAACCTGGGGGGGAGTGGGGAATAAATATACCTTCCCTGATGAGCCCAGGTTAATTTTCTCCAATTTTCTCCCAGTCGTTCCCAACCTAGTGCCCTCCAGAGCTTTTGGACTAGAATTCCCATGTAGTCTGGTGCTGGTGGGAGTTTTAGTACAACTGGAGGGTGCCAAATTCAAGATGTCTGTCATATCCCAGCTTCCAAGTCTGGGTACCAGGTTTGCGTTGCACATTCAGATCTAGCTGCCATCTTATTTTTTAAAAAGTGCCACCTTATCCTTTGCTACCTGCCCGTTTTAGAAATGTTAAGAAAATGACCTTAGGATTATTATTATTTATTCACATACCCTTCACCCAAAGACCCCAGGGTGGGTTGCGACAATTAAAATGCAAGCTTAGTTTTTAACGGGGCGGGGTTGAGTTGGATCGGCTCGTATTTCTTTTAGCTTGTATTCTTGCTTTTACACTTTCTTCGTAAGTCATTTTCAGGTCTCTTTGCTGGAAAAAAAGGGCCTGGAAGAACAGGATTTCTGTCTTGCCTGTCTAGCAATGTGGCAAAGATGGGCGGGAAAGGGAACAGGCAAGCACGATCCTTGCATCGCTGGGGGCTGGACTAGATGACCTCTGGGTCCCTTTCAACGCTATAATTCTGTGATCAATAAGCATCCCCAGGCACATTCCCATGGGAATGACAATTCCCAAGACTCGCAACCCAGGGAAGTGAGACCCATGGGCAGGATAGAGAACAATTTTGGGGGTGGGGGATAATTTGATTCAGGCACTCAGAGCTGTGAGGTACCAAGAGAATTAAGCCCTTCCCACTGGGGAGAAGGAAGAGTGGTGTATTTAGTACCTCCCACCCCCACCCCAAAG